GTTCTGGGCCGCACCTCCGTTGCAGAGCACAGCATCGAAACCGAAGGCAGCTCCATTGTACGCCGCCGCCCATACCGTCTCTCTTCGGCTGAACGGCAAATCATTGAGAAAAACGTCGCCGACATGCTCAAACGGGATATTATTCGACCTTCATCCAGCTCCTGGTCGTCTCCTGTGGTGTTGGTCCGGAAAAAGGATGGCTCTGTCCGCTTTTGTGTTGATTACAGAGCGCTCAATAAGATCACGAAAAAGGACGTATATCCGTTGCCACGCATAGATGATGCCCTGGACTCCCTACAAGGCGCAGAATATTTCTCCAGCCTCGACCTCTGATGCGGGTATTGGCAAATACCTATGCGCGAAGCAGACAAGGAGAAAACAGCGTTTGCGACGCCTGACGGGCTTTACGAATTTAACGTCATGCCCTTTGGCTTATGCAACGCTCCAGCAACATTTGAGCGCATGATAGATACTGTCTTACGTGGTCTCAAATGGAAAACCTGTTTATGTTATTTAGACGACATCGTCATTTATTCTTCTACTTTTTCTCAGCACCTTAAGCGTTTGGACGAAGTTCTAACGTGCATTTCGAACGCTGGCCTACAGCTCAATACAAAAAAGTGCCACTTCGCCAGCACAAGCATCAAAGTATTGGGTCACCTTGTCAGCAAAGACGGCGTTCGACCCGACCCCGACAAGGTTGCTGCCGTAATTAGTTTTCCACGTCCGCGCCATCAAAAACAATTGCGAAGTTTCGTGGGCCTGGCGTCTTACTTCCGCCGCTTCATCCGTCACTTTGCTGCCATTGCGGGGCCCTTACAAAAGCTTCTGACGTCAGGGACGGATTTCACGTGGACTGACGAGTGAGAGTGTGCTTTCCAAGCCCTTAAGCGTGCTTTGACATCAGACCCCGTCCTCCATCACTTCAACGAGAGTGCACCCACTTTCCTGCACACAGATGCCAGCGGCCACGGAATCGGTGCTGTCCTCCTCCAGCGCGACGACAATTCACGTGAGAGAGTAGTTGCGTATGCCAGCCGCGCATTAACACCTGCAGAGCAGAACTACTCGATAACAGAGCAGGAATGTCTCGCTGTCGTTTGCGCCATCCAGAAATTTCGACCTTATCTGTATGGACGCCACTTTACTGTGGTTACCGACCACCATGCCCTATGCTGATTGTCCTCGCTGAAGAATTTGTCTGGGCGACTCGGTCGCTGGATACTGCGTTTGCAAGAGTACACTTTTGACGTTGTGTACAGGTCCGGCAAACAGCATCAGGATGCTGACGCTCTCTCTCGCTGCCCTCTGCCACTTTCATCTCCAACCACGCATCCCGAATGCCCCTCAGGTGATCAAGCGGCTTCCTGTTCACTCACGTTATCACCCCTGGCAGTTGCTGGGTCGCTACCTTTAAACAACAGCGCCCAGTTTGCCGCGTACCGACGTGGCAACCCCTACTGTAACCGCATCATTGGATACTTGAATGGCTCGCCTTCTCCACCTAATGCCAGACTACGTCGTCAGCTACGGCTGTTCAAGCTAGAGAACAATGTCCTGCAGCACTATACTTACAATGCGGATGGGCATCGGTGGGTGCCAGTACTCCCCCGTTCGCTGCGAAAACAAGTTCTCGAAGCATTGCACGACGACCCATCAGCTGGACACTTGGGATTTCAAGAGACCTACAACCGCGTTAGGAGCCGTTTCTTCTGGCCTGGTCTTTCTACCTTTGTGGCTAATTATGTCGCTTCTTGCGCACTTTGTCAACGCCGGAAACGACCAACTTCAGCTCCTGCTGGCTTATTACAACCCATTCCATGTCCCGACACACCTTTTGCCGTTGTCGGAATAGACCTCGTCGGGCCACTTCCCGTAACGCCAGCGGGCCACCGCTGGATCGTCACAGCCATCGACCACCTCACACGATACGCGGAGACCGCTCCTCTACGCACTAGCTCCGCCTCAGACGTTGCCGCCTTCTTTTTAGAAGCCATTGTGCTGCGTCATGGTGCACCTCGCACGTTGTTGAGTGACCGGGGCAAGGCCTTCATGTCGACAATTCTTGACGAAATTCTAAAAACTTGTGGCACACTTCATAAGACCACATCCGCTTACCACCCGCAGACAAATGGGCTGACAGAGCGATTCCACCGGACTCTAATCGACATGATATCCATGTACATCGGACCGAACCACGATAATTGGGACAAAATCTTGCCGTTCGTAACATTTGCACACAACACCGCGGTTCAACGAACCACCGGGTATTCACCTTTCTTCCTCGTCTATGGTCGTGCGCCGACATTCACCATTGACGCCTCTTTCTTCAATGTAATGACAAAAACGTCGCCGACTACGCCAGAACATTTCGTCTCAAGGCTTGCTGAGGCACGGCAACGTGCTCAACTCAACACGGAGGCCAGTCAAGAAGACCGCAAGCAACGCTATGACAGCTTTCGTCGAGACGTCACCTTCCCTCCTGGAGATGAAGTACTACTTTGGACGCCTGTTCGCACACCCGGATTGTGTGAAAAGTTTCAGTCTCGCTTTCTAGGACCTTATCTTGTTTGTGAAAGAACATCTCCGGTCAATTACCTTGTCACTCCCGTCGAGGGTTCCTCAGACCGTCGTTACCGTGCCTCCGAGATTGTCCACGTTTCACGTCTTAAACCCTTTGTGCGCCGTACCTTTCCCGCCTAAGTCTCGGCCGGGCCGGCCGCTCAAGTGCGCGGGGAAAATAAGTGTGAGCATTATTTATGCGTCCCATCTTTTCATCTGTAAATACTCATCATCACCAGTCAAGTTTGGGTTGTGGGGCACATACTCCAGTCAATAAAAGGAGAGTCTCGAGTGTTCTCGACGCCATCTTACAATATATATATATATGTGTGTATATATATAATTTGTATGTGTGAATAATGGCAAAAAAAAATCCAGCGGAGACTGTCAATGTAATTGCTATGGCAATAAAAAATGACGTCGAAAGACGATAGTCTTGCGTCTGGAGAGAGTGAACAAAACATTTATTTGATGTTCTGCACAAGAAAATCAGTGAATTGTATTCTGGAGGCGCTGCGTTAGAGTGCCTCGAGCGTGCAGCAAAGGCAAATGAGCGCATCAAGTCACGTCACACGTGAGACAAGAGCGCTATCTGGCAGTTATCTTGGAAAACGAAGCGTGCGGCTTTGAGACAGTCATGCGAGCCCGTCTCAGAGGTGATTCGGTGTAGAACTCAAGGCGAAATAGGTGCCACCACTGTGTCGTCTTATCAAAGCGTTGGAAACACTTGCATTTTCGTGCAAGCGTTGCATGGTCAGCGCAGCGTGATAAATACTAAGGTCCTCAGAATTATTTATGTATGCCTTTTCTAGTAAAAGACGCACATAAGGAATATATACATGTTGTTATGGTGCCTCACATATGTGCAATAATTGATCTTTAATTGGCAATCGCACAAGTATGAACGCTGAACCTTGAGAAACAATGGTGGGCGCTGCGGATGGGGTCAGAGGTCTGGGGTTTTGGCTGGTGCTGTATAGAGTACCCGGTATCGTTAAGGGTGAATAAACAAACAAATAAACAGACGGGCCGACCGACCAAAATTTTTGCGTAGAAGGTCGCCAAGAAAGACTATCGTTTTCAAAACACAAAGCTAAACGCCGTCGGGGCCACACTATGAGCGCATGCACGTGCGCACGGTGTCAAAAACAAAGAGCGAACGACGTGGACACAGACACTGCGGAAAACTATTGGATAAAGTGCCCTGCATAGGCAACGCCGCCTCAGTTATGTGACGTGGCACTGCCAAGGAACAAAAGTAGTTTTCTTTTTTTGTTTGTTTAGAGTTGAGAGGGAGGGCACACCTGCGCGCACAACGGCGAGAACGGCAGCAATGCCGGCTCATGGGGTGCAGATGTGTGGGCAGGCGAGCCCTGCCCACGCGCGCAAGAAGGGTGGTGAGAGCGAGCGCTCGCTCTCACCTGGTGCGCCGCCGCCGCTTTGCACTTTGTCGACGGCGGGGCAGCCGAGGAAAATGCACACTCGTACCAAAATTCCAAAATGCAGAGCAACATTCCTAGATTGTCCGTGGAGAAAATTCGTTATACCAAGGTTGTCTCGCGCTGTTAATTTTGTTACATGGAGGTTGAAAATACAAGTGATTTTATGGAGCAATGGTGGGGAATAGAAAAACTTGGTTATATCAAGAAATTTGTTACATGGAGGTTCATCATAAGCAGGTTTAACTATATATATGCTGTGAATATCAACTACTGCCAACATGAACAAAGGATTGTTTGGAAGCACACGATTTTGTTCATTAGAAAACTAATCACATGGATTGGCGAAAAAAAGAAAAGAGCACTCCTATTACAATCGAAACTACGATTTGCCCTTTTCTCAAGATACCCTGGCCCGTTTCATAATCAAGTGAATGGCATGTGTATTCAGCTGTTGGTGAGACAACAGAAGACAACGGGATACATGCCATTGGCAACACGAGTAGCAGCGTAGTTACATGTAAAACTGTTAAAGGGGTAGTGCCATGAAATTTCGAAGTTAAAACAAGCCTCTTGTGGGTTCCCTCTGTATGCTAGAAGACTCCACTCAAACGATCGGAAACAACAAACTATTAGAATATATTTTAATACACCTCCAAAGTGCACTTAAATACTCATTCTACCATCTGAAGCCTATCACAAGTGCATCCAGAACTGTGGTAGCACTCAAGGAAGCCCAACAAATGGTGCAGTGACGTCACTGTTATGAGTGAAGTGCGTGAGTGAATTGATTTTCGAATTTAGCGCGGTAAGATGGACGACTGACAATGTATTACCTGCACCAGTGCGGCAAACACTGGCTATCGAAAAAGAAGAAAAACACAAGAAAATCGCGGAAAGATCGAGAGTGACTGCGTCAAAGAAGGAAAAGGAGGAAGAATCGTGCTGGTGCTTGGAAGAGCGCAGCTAGGGTGAAAAGTGCGAGCTCATCGGATGCAGGTACCAAGGCGTCAAGGCATCCACCTAGCCGTCAAGGCATCCACCTAGCCGGCGAAGACAATCACGGGATCCTGGTGACCATTAAACCACCACCGAGGCTATTGGCTAGTTCCTGGCACGGCCTGGTTCTGGGGTTCGAGCTGAACACAGCGCCGCAAATGACGTCGTCTATCGGGAGCGTGAGCGAGCCGTCGGGCTATGAGCCCGAGCTTTTACACTTCCACCACAGCTGCTTCACCGCTGGACTGTTGAAGGGCATGAACCGCCGGTGAGTCGTATATATTTCCTTGAGCGTCTGGACTCCACCTGAAGAACTCGAGAGACTGTTTAGACTCGTAGATGTTTCACATCACTAACGAGAACTGCCGGTGTTCGTTAGTTTATCTTTTGCTGATTCCCATTTTTGTGTTTTTGTTTTGTTTTTGTGAAAACATATATATTTTTTAGGAAATGAAACGCTCACCTCCTTTTCTCTCCAGAGAATAACGTTCACAGCTAGCCCGACTGGCTTTATTTACCGAACCTGTCACAGTCAGCACAAGATCTGTAGTGAGCGAAAGCGTGCACAGGTTTTGCCTTTAGGGGGAAAAGAGGTTCATCGAAGCGCACCCTCTCGCTATTATGTCAATATGTGGGGCTGTGTTTGCACCCCCCCCCCCCCTTGTAGGCGACTATGGGAGGGCGCCCCCTTACCCTCCGGTTCCATACGCCACGTACGTACCGTAATGAGGGGAGTGACCTCTGTAGACCTCTGCCATGTACGTACCGGCTAAGCATTGTGGCTGCTTCACGTTTGTTTTGCAGGTGCCTGTGTGCCACAAGTGTGCAAGCAAGCCAGCGATAGCAGACGGCCAGCAAAACGAAAATTTATTGCCAGAAGTCGGTCAACCTACTTTGCCGACTCTTGCCATGCAACAACTTCAAAGCTCTCCCTTCACACTGGAAAAAGTGGTCTATTGCTACGTCGTCATGTGCGCCGAAGAAGGAGTGAAGGGTGTCTAGCGCATCCAAAACAACCCGCAAGTTGTGTTTCTCCACGTGCATCTCTTCTTGGTCCTTGGCGTCGTCAGCTTTGTGCACGGTTTCGATAATCGCCTCGTCGGCCACTTCCTCGTACACAACAACGGCGTCATCGGCGCGAACGATCGCATCAACGGTGAGTTCATCTGGACTGTCGATGTCGATGGCTCGAAGTTACCCCCGGGCATTGGTCAGGGATAACGAAACTGCACTGCCATCACTTTCGCCGTCAAGTGCGCCTTCTTCCACATCTTCTTCTGGTGAGGCCGAAGCGCAATCTATGTGTGATGCTTGCACGGTGGTGGCGAAGCCCGCGTGCTCCAGCATGATCATTTGCCATCGCCTGCTGCAGTGTGGCCAGGCATGTTGCTGGACACAGACCCCATCGCCGATTTAAGCAAACAAAAATGATGGTATCCACGCTAGCACGGCAAAAGCAGACGTTTACAAATTATGAGTGCGCATAACACGCACACGAGCATATTTTCGACAGTTAACCTTTGGCAGGAAAGTAAAATAAAGCCTGCACCATGCTAGAAAATTCGTTAATGCGGGATTGCTGTCCTGGTTCGTTCTTGGTCGGCTGTATACACCAAAACGCCGACTGCCTCTCTCGGTACCCAATTTACGCTTCAGATCTCGTAACAAACGACACATCCATCTGTATTTCCTCGCTCAGCGTTATAGGCAAGATGGGAGGTGAGCAACGGCGTGACGCATCCCTACGAGAGATCTAATCCACCACCTGAATACTGGCTCAATGAACAGTTCTGTTCGAATATTTGTCGTCAGAGCCGGCATCCTATACTGCCAGAACATGCGCCGTGTGGGACAGGAACTACCCACTCATCTGCACTCAACCGTACTTCAGCAACTACATGATGTGTCAACGGCCGGCCACCTTAGCGTTCTCAGAATATACGATCGTGTTCCCCCGACACTTTTACAATAAAAGCTGTTATGAGATCACACCGAAAATCCTGTGTGGCGCCGTAGTTGTCTACCAGTGCTGCTGCCGCCACCTGTGTCCGTAACCCCTATCGCACGAAATAAGAAAAAGAACACTCAGTAACTTACTAACACCAACGCCGCAATGGGGTTCGAGCCCACATTTTCTGTGTACCACTAATTATTCTACCACAGTGTCACGCTGGTGCCTGAGACGCCTTTGCGAACTGTCCTTAGACATGCAGGCTTGATTTCGGGAAAGGAATCACTTGAATAAGAGTAATAAGGAGTTTTAGAACAGCAAAGAAACCAAATATCACTCCAAAACATTTTGTTGCCGCGAGATACCTAATTAATGGGCTTCTATGAACGTTCGCTGGGGATCCGAAAATATTTCGCTCCCGCAAGGTTTTGTTATTGCGGGTTTCGACTGTACAACGAAACCGACCGAGCGCGAAAAAAATTTCGTTGTAGTGAAGTCGAAAAAATATAGATGATATGAGCTAGCAAAACAAAGGAATGTTTATTCTCAAAACTCAGGAACTCTCCGCTGCTTCTTATTCTTCCCCAGCAGCGTCACGACGAGATTCTCACCCATGCATAGCGAGCCCATGATGAAAAACACGCTGAAACAAGGCCTACAACAGCTTTCGTGAACGAACCGAACAGCTGCATTAACACGTTAACACCAGGAGCTCTCCGTCGTCAGAGTGTATCCGACATTGCTGAGATGGAGGCAGGGTATAATGTAGCGGTGACTTTTGCCTTATTCTATGCCCTTCTTATCATCTACCACTCGCGGCTAGCTGACTTTGATGATTATGCGACGAACAGCTGCTCTGATTAGTTACCACAATGGCCAAGCACGAATGAAATGATTCGCATTGACATCGAAAAAGGCATCGTTCCGCACAGCTGCGTGAAATAAAACCATGAACTTAGCGACTGAGCTTTAGCTTCGGATCGTCTGCGGCTCAAAAGCAAACCAGTGGCAAAAGCAGAGCAGTCTCATTACCATTGCTGCCATTGCAGAAAAAATTGGCCCCATATCTGCATGTTACACTGCAAATGTTTTCGAAAGACGATAGTCTTGCGTTTGCAGAGAGCGAACAAAATGTTTATTAGATGTTCTGCGCAAGAAAATCTGTGAACGGTATATTGGAGGCGCTGCGTTAGAGTGCCTCGAGCGTGTAGCAGAGGTTAATCAGCGCATTAAGTCACGTCACACGTGAGACATGAGCACTATCTGGCAGTTACCTTGGAAAACGAAGCGTGAGCGCCTTGCGCGCCCGTCTCAGAGGTCATATGGTGTAGAACGCAAGGCGATGGGTAGGTGCCACCACTTTGTTGTTTCAGCAAAGTCTTGCAAACACTTGCCTTTTCGTGCAAGCGTTGCCTGGTCAGCGAAACGTGATCAATGCTACGATCCTTATAATTACATATGTATATACGCCTTTTTCAGCAAGAGACACACATACAGAATATTGACGTGTTGTTATGATGCCTCAGATATGTGTAATAATTGCTTTTTAATTGACTATCGCTTAAGTATGAATGCTGAATCTTGGACTACAGTTGAACCCCTTTATAAGAGGCATGCTCCGGGCAGCAGTTCTTGTCTTTTATAGTCAAGCCCACATATAACGGCCCCACTTAAAACGAACTTTTGCTTAAAACGAACAATATCCGCGTGACCGTGAAAATATACATTGGTTCAATAGCACAAAATCGCACTTACAACGAACATCTCCGTGCGCCGCTGATCAGTTACAGCGAACAGAGTCAGCAGTCTGCCAACGTCCCGGGAAACCAATTTCGACCACCGATCAGGCATCGGCGAGGTGCCCATACATTTGTATTGTTAAATGCAGACCCTGCCTCCACGCCCCTCTAGTTGCCACTCTCCCCGACCGCTTTTTGTTACACACCCCTCCGTCCTTTGTCCCCCTGCTACTCTGAGCACCCCGCATCGATAGACGAGGCCCAAGTTTTCACACTGCCACCGATCTTTCGAAGACCGGTCGGCCATCTACCCTGTTTTTGATCGCTGGTACTGTCGTTGGCGTCGCCGGCCTAGAGTGACCAGACCATTCGCCAACATCGTCGGCCACCGACCGTATCCGATAGTCTGCGTCTAGTGCATGCGCATACGCTACCCCGCTGACTTTGATAATTTGCGATTCATTACGTGTTTAGGACTTGTTCTCGCTCACTTCACACATGGCTCAGCATGCCTTCCGCGCGCATGCAGAAGCACGAAAACGGCTGTTAATTTGCGCAGAACGAATCGCGAAATATCGAAGTTTGTGAGGCCACGCAAACCTGCTGCCACAACAAAATGATTTTTTTTCTTCGAACACCGCCGCGCGCACCGATTTAGGCAGCCATGCACTCTTTCCAAGTTTTTCTACGTGCGAGTTTCGTGGATCTTTCAAGCAAGCTACCCAACCTGCCCCCATCCCGTGTGTATTGGTTTTCAAGGTCACTCTCCCACCGCATCCTCCCCTCTCTTTATCGCAACTCCTTGCCTTTCTCTTGCAAGTCTGCTCACCTCTCTCGATCACAACCCCTTTGCCTGTCTCCACTGCTCCGCGACGCCCGCTGCGCTGGCTCAAATTAGTCTAGTTTTCTGACTGGAAACAGGCCCAGAGCTGTTCCACACGCTTTTTCATGTGTGTCGCGTGTGTGCGTCTTGCTTGCTCTTGGTGTGCATGTGTGGTCATGATGGCCGACGGGAGGACTAGCATGCTTTTTCGTGCCGCTCAACAAAACGACGAAAGTGTGACCACTTGTCTTGAGCATAATCCGCACGTTAAGCGCCACGTTGCGGAAAGCTTGCTCATAGCTGTTGACCACCTGGCAGCCAACTTGCCGTTTCAGGTGTCCCGGTATTCAGCTGTGGTAATGATGAATATTTTGTCGGCGGCGGTGACGGCTACATGCGCGCGAAACCGTTCTCCTTCGGTAATGACTTTAGGGAATCATGATTAGCGGGGACGCGAATTTGGAGCTTCAAAAGTATATGTCTACTGGTTTGGTGCTGGCTAGTCGGAGATATTCCGCCTGCAGGTGCGCTTCGGTTAGTTCTTGTAAAGTATTATGCCCACCCAACTCTACGAGGCGTTCGTTACTGGTTGTTTTTGGAAGACAGAGCGTTGCTTTGGTGGCTTGCCGAATTATAGAGTTTATTGCTAGGGTTTCAACCACATTGAGGTTGACATAAGATGTGGTGTACAATACTTTCTTAGGGTATACGCGTGTATCACTCTCAGAATATCCGCTTCTCGTAGGCCATAATCTTTGCCTGTCACTTGGCGTACAAGCTGCGTGGTGGCTGCCAGCATGCCCTTTAAGCGTTTGATTGTTTCGGTATGCTTTCCATCTTGTTGTAGGTACAGCCCCAAGATGCATATGGTACGAACCTAAAGAATCTGCCCACCCTGTACGTAGATTTTTATGGAACTGTGGTTTCCATTACCTTTTGGTGGAATCAAGAAGAGTTCTGATTTTTCTGGTGAACAGCTGACGCCAACCTTGGTGACCTCGTCCTGTATTATAGTTGCAGCTATTTGTAGAGTTTCTTCAATTTGTGCGTCAAATTCATATATAGTTCACGAAGTAATATCATCTGCGTACAAGGTATGGTCAATATGAGGGATATTCTGCAGCATTCGCGCAAGTGGAATAAGTGCTGCGTTAAAAAAGAAAGGGGACAGCACAGATCCTTGGGCAGTGCTTATGTATATATATATATATATATATATATATATATATATATATATATATATATATATATATATATATATATATATATATATATATGTATATATATATATGACGACCAAATTGACGATAAGGGGATTTGGCGGACACCAA